GTGTTTTCATACTGTTTCCCCACGAACTCTGGGAAATCGGGGGCGCCAGTGTAAGCGAATGAGGGGGTTGACAATATTCGTCCACCATCGGCGTAGGCTCTATTGCTTGGTTCATGGCTTCCGCCAACAGAGGGTTTCCCCCCGCGCCGCTCTGATCGCTGTTTTTGCATGGGGATGGTTTTCTTGCTCTCCAAATTCTTGTGTGTGTCGATGAGATGTGTTTCGGAACTAACATTTCGGTTAGAGCTGCCTTTAGAATCTTCTGTCCGTGCTCGTCTTGTTCGTGCTTTTATTCTGTCCTGTTCTGTTTTTTCGTTTCAGAGACGAGCTTGTTTTGTGTACTCGCGCGTTTCCCTCGACGTGTCACGTGGGTAGCCTAGGAGTGATGGCCAGGCTTGAAGTTGCCGTATATTTTATTGGCAAACTTGGCACGGTCAACATTGCCATTATTCCGGTCTGCTTCCGCTCAAACGTGCCAGCAGCATGAAGAGAGATGAGGTGTTGTATTTTCAGTTATATTCATACATTGCTTGTGTTCATTCTTAGCCGCTAGTCCCCCTAGGCCCTTGGTTTCCTTTCGTTGATTAAGCGGAAACCTGCGAATGAAGTTTCCTCGTTTCGTGAGCTGCAATCACCTCATCCGGTTTTCGCGTCATGACTTCGGAAGGGTTCCTATGAACGTGATTACAGGTCTTGGTTGTCTGCTTCCAGTGCACGCAGTCGACGGGTTTTTCGGTGTGCTTGTCGAAGAAGATGGAGAAAATGTTTGCTTGGTTTATGGCATAAACGTGCATGCTGTCGGCCGGCCGCCTCCATGGTGCCTTCGTTTCCCCCTCGGTGTCGTGCGGTCAGGTGGCGTCGCTGACCACTGTCATGCACAAGAATGGCGCCTTCCCCTTGGTGTGTTGGGGGGGAGTTCCAGCGCATCTGCGATCAGTATCTTGGGAGGGCATTTATCTATGTAGTCTTTGCTCGTTTCAATATCCGCAAGTACCCACGGCAGAAAATGCCGGCGTTTTTTTCAATGTTGTCGGACTCTCTGTGCCATCATGATGGGCAATGTCACAAGCGACTTCTAACTTAACGATGCTAGCATTGAAAACTGAACACATCATTCTGTGACACAAGAGTACACTGTCGTCTAGGTTGCGTATCCTCCATTTGCAAACGTTTTGCCGTGCGAACGAACAACGCCGGGGGTACGTTTTGGATGACTGTTTTTTCTTTGGCGGTTGACTGGCTTGCATCCGGGGTGCTGAGGTTCGTTTCTTCGCCTCTTGCCAGCCATCCTTCTTTCGAGTGAACGTAGGCGATACATTCTCGATTGTGCCCTTTTGTCATGCACGCTTTAGCTGCTGCGCAAGTCTGTTTGGGTGTGGATGCCGATGTGCTCTGCGTTGTATGAGCTTTCGTTTGCAAAGAATATTATATTTTCCTTTACACTTTCAAATGACAACGTCTTTGGACCGGACCGACGCCACGTTCAAAGAACGCTCGGCGTAGGGTCCTCTCGCGCTGTGCCACGGTTGTTCATGGCGCATGGGCTCCACATGTGGAGGGGTGACTGGTTGACACAGTCGAGGTTCCGACAACAGTCGTTCATCTCAATCCTTGTCTTGTTTCAGGGGTGTTTCTCGTCCGAAATGCTGGGCAAAAGTGTGCTTCGGCCAGTGTGTGTTTGAAGCAAAATCCGGGGGTTACACTGGAGTTTCCTTTTTTGTGTTCTTTCTCCACATCCCTCGGCGGTGCTTGACTCTCGTTTTTTTCGCGAGCAAAGTCCACCAGGGTCACAAATAAGCGTTGAGAGTACCAGGAACATACTTCAATGCTATTTTCATCGGCAGCACCGGCGGGAACAGCGGCCATAGGGTGCGTGTCCAACAATGTATGATTCATACCGAGGTAGGTGGAGACAAGGGGAGCGNTTGTACTCCGTACGGTTACCGTAGCCTACTTCTGATGTACCATTGCAATCACAATGAATCGAGACATCTGCTGCAACGGCAGAACACGTCCACCAAACAACGAAACCATGTTGGAAGGGGATCAGGCTATAGCCCGCCCTCACGGCCGTACGGAGGCGGGACATGGAAAGGGGTTGTAACCGGAGAGTAGCGCTCGCTCCCCCGCCCCCCCCCGGGTCTACGTAGAGACCAAACACGGACACATGATTGGCGGTG